GGGAAAATTTTCTATTAAAATACTACTTTCTTCTTCTTAAGGCTAGGGCAGTGCAGCCTTGGGCATTCAATCTGAATGTATAGAGCACTTCTTTAGCTGTTATTTGTGGGTTTTTCCAGACTGCTTTACTTTCCTGGTTATTTACAGAGCCCGATACTGTGAAATGGGGTCTTCTTTTCATAGTCACACCCACTAGAAACCAAATTTTTATGACGTACTCAATTAAGGTGGGCACCGTGGCTGACTTTTTAAAATGCTTTAAAAAGCTGACTTGCATCCTGGGGAAGAAGTAACCTTCCATGTTGAATTAATGTTATTTTTATTTAAATATAGAAGTCCTACTAATTCAAAAGCATTTTAGATGCTACTGCTGTGCCAAATATCATGGGAGTGATAATGTGCTTAGGAATTCTGAACATAACAAATGACGTACTTCTTTTTTTTAACAGCATGCCATCTTCCTGAGACTTTACATACTGTCCTTTTAGAGAAAAAGGAAGTGTTACTTTCTTAAATTTACCAGTTTATAAGTTACTACACTGCAATTTATTGTCTGAAGTAGTAGCAGTATTGAGATGCTCCTCATCCACACCCTCTTCTTGCTGATTCAGAGTTTGCTTCCAGTCCGGCTGACTTCCACCATGGATGTGCATTGAAAATGAGTCTTGATCAGTCACCCTGACTTCTCTTTGCCATTTAGATCTGTGTTCGTGCATTTTAATGTCAAGGTTAGCGTGGGATCCTGCGGCTTGGCGAGCCCGCAGCGGCACAAGGGGTTTCAGGCAGCCGGTGCTGTTTGAGTGAGAAGCCCAGGTGCTCTGCTCAGGGCCGTTGTGCGGGCTGCCCGGCTGGTGGCCTTTCCCCGAGGTGTCCTTCCCCGAGGGACAACAGTGCCAGGACGCCCGTTCGGATTTTGTTATGTCGCCTTCCCGCCGCCGGTGACCTTTGCTGTTCCAGCACTCATCTCTTGTCTCTGTTTCCCCTGATTTTGTGTAGGTGCTGGGATGGCTGGAGAAGGTCCCCATGTGCGGTTGAGCTGAGGGAGGCGTGAAGCACCATCCATCCCCTGCTGACATTTGAGGTAGTGTGATAACTTTTATCTTGCCTGCAAGCGACTTTATTATGAATGTTGGCTAAGCAGAGCAATCAATAGTATCCTGTAGCACTCTGCAGATAATCCTCACAGATCCCATGATCTGTTCCTGCAGTAGTATCCTACGGCAAACTATATATGCAGAACACAGAATTCTGATTGGGATCCAATTGTCATATTTTATTACCCCAAACAATAGAGATATTTGAATTAAGGCTGTCGAATTCAATCTTGATGTAGATTGATAGTTTCAAGCCCTTTTCTACCAATCTCCAGCAGCCAGCATTTGAGACAGAGGGTTTGGTAACTGGTGGAAGTTCATAAAAGCTGTTTTTCCTTGTCAGAGAAAAATTATTATACTGTATTTTAATGAGGCATTTCTCATTTATAATGTTATATAAAATATTAATTGCCTGACTTTTTAAATGCACAATATTGAAACAAATGGAGAAAAAGAAATCTGTGTTTTTCCAGTGAGAGAGAACGTGAAAAGGCATGTTGTAGATAACAAATCCTGGTGTAAACGACACTTAAATGACATGTAGTTTGAATGTATGTATTGGGTCTAATTCATATCTGGAGTGTTTAATCAGATTACAGAGGGATAAATTGGAATCAAATATCACAGAAACACACTGTGGTGTAAGGGATTCAGACCTGTGATTACTCATGCTGAGGAACTGGAAAGCTATTACCTGGTGTTAAATGGCTGCACGAGACTTCACAGCTGCTATCTGTGTACTATAGCAGTTTTATGAGACTTAACTGGCTGATCCTGTATAAGTGTACACAAATGTAAAGTTATTAAATAGAAGAACAATTCTGGAGACTGTCTGCTTTGGTTGTGATAACAACAGCTAAAACTTGCCACCCTATGTCTGTGTTTTTAATGTTTCTGAACCCAGATGGTAGAACTCTAGATGCTATCGTTGCACCATGGATCTCTGGTTGGGAGACTTGTCTAAGGATATACCAATTCCACTAAGAAAATAAGAAGGTCAGAATAGTGAAAAGTTATTTTTAAAAATGCTCGTAAATTAGGCATAACTTGGAGTCATCCGGGACCTCCTCAATCACAGCTGCCTTTGTTGTGGTTACCATACAGAGTCAAGCACACCTGAAAAATAATTCATAAATGACTTCTCTCATTTTATAGCTGAAGCATGGCAACACAACCATGCAGAAAGCTGCTTCTGTGCTTTGTTTTCCTGGCTTTCCACGCCCAGCGAGCCAGCTGATCCCTAGCCAAGCTGCCCATTCCCGATTTCTCTGTGAGCAGCGGTGCAATAAGTGTGTGCCCAGCACTGGGAGCACACAGCTTGGATGTGGGATCTGCCCTCACTTCTGAGCTCCACCACGGGCTCGCTCAGGGGTTCTGCCACACTCTGTAACCTCGTTGTGTTTCAGTTTCCTATTTGTGAACAAAGGCTAATAATTCGTAACTTCCAGAAGGGAATAAACCATCCCTGTCCTTAGGAAATGTTGTTACTCACAAAGCGCCTGTCATATTTGATGTGATATTGACGCTGTGTTACCAGGGGAGAGTTCAAACCCTTTGCTTTTAAGTGTGACCCTGGGGTTGGAAATTGATAGTGGATCCCTGGGTGGTAAAAATCATTTCTGTGGTGCTTTCTTGGCTGGTATTTTCCACTAGCTGGAGATAGAGAACATTTTGGCACAGGTAAGAGCAGCTAACTAAATCCAATGATAACATGATCATAGGGGAGGGGAGAGTGTGCTGACCAGATATCTTGAAAATGACATGTCTGTAATTTATATTACCTGTGCCAAGTTAGTTTTAGAATAAGGCCTGGAAATGTGCTCACTGTCCCCATGTAGATCAATTAATGGCTTAGCCTTCATGTATTTGCCTTTCAGTACATGTTTGGCAATACCAGCCCCAGACTCAGCCATATGGAGGCAAGTTTACTGCTCAGCTCTTCTGTGAAATTGAGGCATTTAATGCATTACGGACAGTGGGAAATGTTCATCTGCACATTTTCTAGGCTGCGATTAATAAAGTGTTCTACTCTGAATGAGGTTTTTGTTTATCCTAAATGAATGTGTCGCATTCTTTCCTTAAAAATTAAACAGATGCCTTGTTATTTCAAGTCCAGGATACTGAAAGTGACCCATAGATGCGGCAAGAGTAATTTGTGCCTCATTGACATTTACAGTCCCAATGGAGGATAACACATGAGGCACAGCTTTAAATAGATTTTGTCAGTGCTGGTAGTTCTGCTGAATATGCTGGAAAAAAAATTAATATCTGGCCAAAAGTAGCAGAGATGTTTGTAAAGTAACTGCTGCAGAGTATTCCAGTAACCGTCGTTTCTTTAGCTATTTAACACTTACACAGCCACCAGGTCAGCACACCTCTCTGTCTTTTAAATAAACTGACTGCTAAGTTTCCTGCTATGGAATACAATGTACAGACTATGGAAACCATTTGTGGTGCTGTGAGAGCCTGAGAAAAGCTAAGAGTACGGAAATAAAATTGGCTGTTCCTCCACAGTTTGGAAAAAACTTACAGGAATACAGGGCTTCTCATTTTGAACCGCCTTTTAAGTTCAGGGAAGGACTTGCCTACACTGACAATGACAATAATACAGTAAATGTATCCATCAGTTTAATACCAAAATGCTGTAATACTTTTCTCATCAGGCAACTTGTTTGGTGATGTAAGGCTCCCACAAACTAGGTATCCACCATGTGTGGGTTATGTCCACTAGTTTGTGACTGGGATCAGATCCAAATCCTTCACTCGCTAGTGTTATGAATAGATCAGAGACGTATATACCAACTAAAAAAAGAATCAAACCACTTTTTTTTTTTTTTTTTAGCTTTATGGCTGTACCTCATACTTCTGCTTTATCATTTCATCATACAATTTGAAGGGCTTGCTTTTCAGCATTTAATGGTACAGTCATCAGTAGGACAATTTAATTTGCTGTTAAATAAATTGAGTTAAATTCTGCTGCTGTTGAGTCATATGTTACTGCAGATTTGAAATCAAAGTTAAGATTCAGTTTGAACAAGTCTGGCAAAGTCAGGTATTATGACCTGGCAAGGGGCTACAGGCAGTCATATTTCATTAACTACTGCGCATAAAATAGAATGGAAACTAGGAATGTTAACATTAAAATATACTGCACAAAGTATTTACTTAATGGTCTTTTTTCTTTTAAAGACAATACTCTGCACTCATTTGTAGCCACTTGTATTCTGGCTCTTTCTTCTGAGTAAAGTGTCTCAAAAATATGCTGTTTGAGAATTATTTGTGAAAAATAGATTTTCCAGACTAAATACACTACACTGAACCAGTGAAAAGAATCAGATTAGGTAAATCTGTGGAAACCTGTCCTCCCACACATGGCTCAGTGTGCTTTAAAAATGCACTCCAGCCAATTGAGTCTTACACTGTACATACTACTGTAGGGTTTATTATGTGTGACTAGTAAAAATACCACCATATGGTCTGATCATTGCAGTAGTAGTGGGAAGTAAGTCTGGATTTTGGAAAGGCTAAGCTTAATATTCGCACTTGGCTGCAGTGGTCCCACTGTTAGTTCAGCAACATCAGACTGTCTTACCCCATCCACCCTCTGCCCTCTCCCAGGGGAAGCAGCACATCCCTGTCACTGCGCAAGCACATGGAAGCAACTCCCCTCTTCCCATCTTTTTTCCTCATGAAGGCCCTCATACTTCCATCACTAGCAGACAGTGAAGAAGCAGTGTCCTGGTTTGAGGTAAAACAGAATCAATTTTCTTTTCAGTAATTTTACTTTTCAGTTAGGTCTCTTCTAACTAACAGCACTCTCTGACATTAACAGCATGTGGTCCAGAGACTGTTCGCTCTCAGAGTGATCAGACCTATGTTGCCCAGCCATGGTATGCAGAGAGGCTCCTGCTTATACTTACTGCTGTAACCCCCAAGGGCAGTGAACTTTGTTACTTGCCCTGTTGGAGGGTCAGAAGCAGAAGAGCGTAGAAAGGTCCCACCTGCGGGGAGGAGCGGACAGGACAGGTGACCCAAAACTGACCAACGGGGTATTCCATCCCATCTGCCTCATGCTCAGTATAAAGCTGAGGGATCAAAGGGTCAGCCCTCTTTCTTCAGTGGCCGCTGTCCCAGGAGGACTCTGTCTGTTCATCTGCCTTTGATCCTGATC